GCAGAAGCCATGTGCCACTAACCTCACATGTCCTGTGAACACTCAACACTTGCAGAGAGTTTTATCGAGTCCACAAATAATCTATCAGTTTGCAATCAAAGTCAAACCACTCAACATGTAAGAGAGTTCACATTACAGGCACTTCAATTCATTCCACAGCAAAGAAAATGTAACTTGGCGCACTAACGTGGAAACATCACAAAAGTGTCAACACCCTGCCAAGTAGCCATTTCAGTATTAAAGCGAACTGACCTGATTCCCGCAATCTTTATTGAAATGTATATGTCGTCCTGATATCAGTCCACTTCTGCTCACTCATCAAAACTCTCTCATTCATTATCCAAAGGTAAACTCAAACCAAACACCTCATCCAGGTGAGAATTGGCAGTCGAGTATGACAAAGACAGATGTTTGCTACATCAGACCGAGAAAGAGGAAGACACATTTCACACACTGCTGAAGTCCATGTGCAGACGGTCCTTTCCATCCCACACTCCGTCTCTCTCTCCTCCCTTCTCTCTCAGACCTAATGTCATCATAAACAAGGATTGCCCCATCTAGTGGTCATTCTCTGCTCTTTCTTGCAGACATCTACTTCTAATTTCTTCACATTTGCTCATGGATCAAGGAGATACACTGGCCACAAGAGGGATCTTGTTACTTGGCCCAAGTTGCAGTACCAACCAACAGGACAATGAGGTTTTTTGTCTCTTTACAGTTGCAAATTTAGTCTCATATAGCCAGAATCTTTACCATCAGCAATAAATCTGGTCCACAATGCACATTTCATATTATTCTGTAAAAAAAACTCTCAGGAAGAGACCACCCACTGACATACAAACTAACCTGGGACAGTAAACCCAAACAATTTAAATTCTGTCATCACCTGTTTGACTCTTTCTTCTGTGGAACATAAAATAAGGTATTTTGAGACTATGGAAGTCAATGGTCACCAAAACTGTTTAATTCCCAACATTCTTCAAAATATTGTCCTTTGTCTTCCCCAGAAGAATGAAATTCAAACAGGTTTGGAGTGACATGAGTGTGAGTAGCCTAAATGATGACATAATTGTAATTTTATTTTTGTGAACTAGGCTATCCTTTCGGTCTCAATCGTAACTCGTATCCACATTACCATAGAGCCACATTATACTGGTTTATGAAGTGTTGTGTTCATATGACGAAGGAGAGCAGGGGAGGAAATGTCTCACTCAGTCTCACTCAGGCCAATGAGTCACAGTGTCATCACTATTTCAGTAGTATAACGGGAATATAACATTGACGTAGCACTGCAATGGTCATTTTTGATCCCACTGTATAAAGCTCATCTAATCCGATAGACTTGTAATAGCATAGTGATCAAGGCCTGAGATCATCATTGAAATGCTTTTCCTGGAATCGGTGTGTCCTGAGAGGCTCTTAAATCAGATCTCTGAGGTGGTGGCACAGTTCTGTGTCACGCACATGCTTTCAATATCACACGACTCACGGGTCTGAGTGAAAGCCAGGGGATCGAGGCAGCCGGCATCCGCCAGAAATAACACAGGCAACAATAAGAGCTTGTTTCAAGGCCTGTGTGTGGAATGCGGACCGGTTTATTTTCATCCTCAGCCCAGCTAAAGCATCATGAGGCACCGGAGGATTTCTCTGCAGATCTGATGTGCGAGCTGTGAGGGGAAGGCCCGAGCTCACGGCCGATGTGCTGAGCAAACATCCTGAGGCTCTGCAGAGTAAACATCCTGCCGCTCATGTGCGCAAACCAAAGCGTACAGGAGAAATCTGATGAGTAAACACCACATATGACTGCAAATCCTGATTGAGGCCGATTCACGCCACATGTACATGTAAATAGTAACGTAACGTTAGCAGTGCTCGACACGACATTAAGCCTTTTTTCTTCCCCCTCTTTTTTAATCTTCCCTTAAAACTTACTTTTTTAGGGTGGCTTTTATGTGATTCGTGTGATTAATGTGTTTGTTATTATATTGGCTTTTTATTTGTATTGCTTGTTTAGTTTTTACTGCCTAGACTGTTATGTGTATCCTTCTAATTTCATTATTTTTATGTAAAGTGCTTTGAGATGCTACTTTTAAAGGCACTATATAAAATAAAGTTTATTATTATTATTATTATTTTCATGTGCTTGTCCTTTGGACATTTACTGGTCGGAGTAAAAAATTAGCTTGTCCATGAAAAAATAGGATTTAATTTAATTTAATTTTTTTATTTATTCTGAAGAAGTATTTTCATCAGTGTTCAGTCAGCTTTGATATTTTAAATCTGCATATTTATGATATTTTAACCTTTATAAAGGGTATTGTTTTAATACTTCAACTTTATGAAAATCACAAGACTCATGTAAAAGCTTCAGAGACTAAAAATATAAAATACATAAAAAAGTAATAATATCCAACTTTGTTGTTGTTTTTGGTCATGGCTATGTAGGGACTATTTGCACAATAAGGTGCAAATTATTTGTACTTAGTGCAAGTAGTATTTATTGCATTAAGTGAAAATAACCTGTCATGTTGTTATGTCTGGTTTGATCACTTAAAATTGGTTTTACACTTCTATTCAATTCTGCAACAGTCTTATTGAGGTACGGAAAATACAAATCCGTTCACTTTGAAACTCAGATGAAGAAACCCAGGAGTGAACAGGTGAATTCTCCATGGATTATTCAGAAGACAGGTCTTCGTTTTCAAGTAAAACGTTGAGCTTTAAATTCCATGTATTTCTCATGTGTTCTCGTGTATTTCACGTCTTTAATTTGATTGATTTTTGGCAAACTGCATGAAAATCAATGGGTGTCTATTTGACCCCAACGCATTCGATGTAACCAACATTTGTTTCCATAACATGATGTGACGTCAGCTTATAAAAACAAGCTAATTGTGTAGTAATGCACTTACAATGGAAGTCTATGGGGCATAAAACTTGTAGATTTGTTAAAGGGACTCTAAAGTCAATGAAATCATCAAGTGGATGAACCTCTAATCCTGCATTACAGGTGTAATTCCTGTGGGTGTACTTTGCTCAATGCACAGTTTAACAGATGTTTAATTCTGATGCAATGTCTTGCCCGCAGACCTCTACTGTAATTGTAAACAACTTTTACTTGATTATATAAACCGAGGGATGAAGGGTTGAAATTATGTTTTGTGATCGTAAACAGCATGTCACAGATGTATTAGAAAAAAACATCAGTGTACTCTATCTCTCCATCATCTACTGACACACGGTCAACATCCCACATGCCCTTCTTCACCTGATAAACACAAGACAGGAAGTCACGTGACCACGGCGGCCACATATAACCAACAGACAGGAAGCTGAGCAGAGCTGAGAGAGAGAGAAATAAATCAATAACATCCTATTTAACACAGCAGCTCAACTCAACAGTCAGGTCACAGACACGTTAATGATATTAAACTGCACTGCGTTTCCCAAGATCCTCAGCTGTAACGAATGCTTCTTCAGGGTTCAATGTAAGGTGACAAGTCTCTTTAGAGGGCCGTTATACGGTCCACACCCTTACTATGGGAAAGAGCAACCCAGGCATACTTTTCAACCGTTCAAATATGTAATCAAACATGAAATAGCCTATTTGTGTTAACCAAATTGTGGAATTTGAACAAATCTGATGATCTGTTAACCTAATCATTGCATTTCAAACAGATTAATATAAACACCAATCAATCAGTTTTTCATTTGGATACTTATTTATAATACATTTGGGTATTTATTTAGAAAGTAGACGTTATAACTGGGATAAGTGCTGATTTGAAGTTTGCAATGCTCAAGCTTCTTGTCACATCTTTAAATTATATTGTGTTGGATAATAATACAGTGTTGGAGAGTTGGAGATAGATAGAAAAGGGTGTTGCTATGTGGTTGCTAGTGTAAATTTAATTTTTAAACCCAACGGTTGGGTTTGTTCATAATTGACCCAAATGTATTGAAATTCCCCCAGTATTTTTTTGAGTGCAAGAAATGCTCAAGCGCAAATGTAGGCTATATTGTGCTTCGTTTCGTGTTCGGTGTCCAAAATGGATTCTGTTCAAGTTGGTTTCTTTTGTAGGTGCATGGCTCTTGGCCAAAATAAGTTGTCGTACACTTATTGTATGGTTAAAAAAGTCTGTCACATTGAGATCTTAGCATTCCCACAGAAAACATCCCAACCCCCTCACCGAACCCAGACAGCTGAACCACATTCCTCAGCAACAGACAACAAGTGTTACAAACACACACACACGACTACAGCATGTTACTGCTAAATGTCCAGGAAACTTCAGAAACTCTGTTCACTGTATGTGCAGTACGTCATGGATTCTTGCTCTGAAATTAAGAGTTGGTTCAGACAAGTCGAAGCCTGTTTGAGTCACACTAGGAAGAGGACGAATTAAAGAGGCAAACATGCAGAAAAGTGAGGACAAAGCCAGTTGTCAGACACTGAACTGCAAAAACACACAGGGATTTCTTCGCAGCTCAAATATCAGAAAGCCTATTAACTGAGATGTTTGCACATAAGAGGATCATGGAACAATAAAACACATTCATCTCTCGTCAAAACCAGATGCCTTTCATTCGCCATGATGATGAATAATTCAAAACTGCATACACTACAAAGAAGAAGAGATGATGGACAGCTCACATGAGGGAGTATTGTTGTTGTCAGCATTATATCACACTCAGCCTACAAATACCTGATTATCCTCAGAGTAAGGTACATGTAGAAACAAGACAATAGTTTATTTATGTATATAAAGCTAGTTTGTGTCACTAAATCTAAATAAATACACCGTTAAAAAATTAGAAGTTATACGGGAAAAACACATTGATATCAACTTCTATCGGAGTCAAGCGCTGAATGGTGAATGCCAATATCATTTTTAATGTATCTCAGATATCACACACACACTATAATAGATAAACAAGCGCTTGTTGTTTATTTAGAATAAGTTAGGTAAAAGTAACATCTGTCGATGATCGTCACTCACCGACTCCGTCTTCAGATTTCAACACCATCGCGCGCTCTTTAGTCGCTTGATACCGTAAAATAAATCAAAGGCAAGTTCAAAACAGCTCGATTTACAACTACAACTCAACTTTAGAGTCAACTTTCGAGAACAGAGTCGGGTATTTCACATAACACTCGAGACCGGAAGGCTTGCGGTTGAGGAAGGGTGCTCGTCCGTGATCGGGGGAGTGTCTCTAACCGTAACGGGCCAATCCCGAGACCGAGAGCACTATGATTCTCAACGCTGAAGGATTCTAGCCCGCTTCTGACACGGGCCGTGTCTCAAAGCTCAGCTCACACACTCACTCGATCACTTGATCACTTCCTACTGTTGACGGCCGAGTGAATAATAAAGCGCGCTACCACACAGGGCGCAATTGTATTACATAACCAAAATCTGAGCAACCCGTTTTATGGACACAGATTCTGAAATAATTGTGAAGCTTTTATTTTTATATGACACATTTTTGGTATCTTTTAAACAGCTAAATTTGGCATAATAGGGCTTATTTGTATACCAACAGCCTGTGTGATCCAAGAAATGTCCCAGAAACAAAAGTATAATTGAATATGGCTCTCTAGAAACTTCAGGGAAGGAAAATAACTTAAAATAGTTTGACATTAATTAAGTTATATAAAACATATTAGCCTATAAAACGTTAAATCACATAACAGTGACCTCATATTCTGGTGAAAAATAATCAACATGAACTGAATAAGTTCATATAGAATAAGTTCATATAGCTCTGACAACTTTTTGTAACATCATAAATTATTATTTTTCTTTTAAGTCCCATCATATACACTTAAAGTTTGATTAAAAAACATTTGATCTCATTACAGGAGGACTTATCATGCATCACATGCGAAACTCTCAAAATTTGAATATCCTGCAAAAGTTGTAATTTTGATGATTATCAGCCTATGAAAAGCCCAAATTCAAAATCTCAGAAAATTTGAATATTACACACACACACAAAAAAAGGATTTTATATGCAGAAATGTCGGCCCTCTGAAAAGTAGCCTATAATCATGCATATGTATATAGTGTTATAGCCTAGGCTACTAAATATATTAGTTTCACCTTTTAATTTGAATTACTGAAATACATGAACTTTTGCACGATATTCTAATTTTTCTAGTTTCACCTGTATCCGTCCCTCTTACATCTCTTCTCTTCTCTGATGATGTGTTTACTGGTGCGAGGGCGGAGCAACCTGTCACTCACATGTGATCGACCAATAGCAAACCTCAACCATCCAACCAACCAATCAAATCCCGATGGACAAAATCAAGCCCCTTATTGCTCTCGTTCCAGAAGCCGTTTCACTCATGTCATAACAGGGAAGAAAAGACTAACTAGACAGCAACATAGTGTCGGCCCACATCCGGTACATGTGTATTAAACGCGGCCCAGTTGTGGGCCGGATCCGGGCCGACACTATGTTGCTGTCTTACGTTTCATGCTGACTTTGACAGCCATCCGTCAAACTCATAAACTCTCTCTGACGGACAACTTTTTACTAATGTATATAAGCTTATGGCTTATGATTCTGACTCAACTAACAATGTCTGCCTGTAATGAGCACAAACATCTTTGAAGGGATTTAAAATGGCCAGTATATGATCACATTGGGATCATGTATGCAGTGCCCTATTGAGGTAGGAAGCTCAATACGGTTTGAGACAAAGCCGCAGTATTGAGTTTCACCATCCACACCCTGTGCTGTGAGAGTGAGTGTGTGTGTGTGTGTGTGTGTCGGTGGGGGCAGGGAGAGCGAATGACGAACACAGACAGAGAACGTGTGTGAGTATGTGTGCGTGTGTGTGTGTGTGAGTGTGTGTGGCCCTGAGCCGATATAAGAGAGACATAAGAGAGATAACAGCCATTAAAACAAGTGTACGAGGTTATCTCTCTCTCATGTAGTGTAACAGACTTGCCCATACAATTGTACATTTATACTTAGGCTACATAAGCTAAATACAATAAAGATATCATTAATATGAGTCATGCCAATTAAAGAAGGGTGTTGAAACAAGAATGTTCAGTTTAGAAGTTTTTTATTGATCAAATATTTCAGTCACAGACACCAAACAATGTTGTGAGTCAACACACCACACCTGTTGTGTTATTTGTTTTTAGGTTACATATTATTAATTTGAGTCCTAAATAGTTATATAAGTACATACTAAATAATCATGGCGGTATGAGCCATTTGAGATCAAATCTAAAGTCTTCTTTGTCGACACACTCATGCATGAAGAGATGAGAGAAGGATTGCGTTTCTAAATAAACAAAGCCGAAGCGGAGTGATGAAGGGGAACTCTTAATCCCTGTAAAGTGCTTTCAGGACTTTGAGTTGGTTTGCCTCTGTCATTGTGCATTGTTTGAGTTGTTATCCTGTTAGTTAATCTGAGTAGTTTCACTGTTTCCAGATCAGTTTCCCTGGCCTGTGTTCATTAGTTACCATGGTTTTTGATTTTCCTTGTGTGTCACGCTTGTGTTTAACTCATTTCTTGCCTAGTGTTTTCCCATGTAGGACGGGTGCCTGAAAAGGCAAACTTTTGTAAAAGGGGTTTCAAAGTGCAAGTTTTTGAAAACGGTCCTCTATGTAAACATCAAAAACGCTAGTATCTGAAGATGACGACGTCATGCACATGCGTATTACGTGTTCAGTCTATAGGGTTTCATCGCCATCTACTGGCCTGGAGCAGACTACAGCGCTTTTAGTCTTTTTAAAAATGATTGCACAACCACCAAAATAGGTGGCGATATTCACCAAGCATGTAAATCACCATTAAACAACGTGGATTCCAAGCGTACCAGATCTGGGCCGACACTATGTTGCTGTCTGGGAAAAGAAGAACAAATAAGTAGTATGGCGCGCTTTTTCTTAGCGACTGTTTCCAAGGTGACTCGTGGATTCGTCGCTTTGTTGAGAATGTCTGGTGTGTTAACCATGAACATACTCTCGAGTTGAATGAACTTACCCCAGACATCAACATAGTGTCGGCCCAGATGTGGGCCGGATCTGGGCCGACTCTATGATGCTCTCTGGGACTCCACCTCCATTCGCATTTCCACGAAAATGATTAAAAACGCTGTATTATTCATGCCAGGCCAGTAGGTGGCGATGTCACCTCGTAAAGAAACACTTTGTGCCTATAGACTGAACCCGTAATACGCATGTGCATTCACATTTTTGTAGTTTACTGAATCGTATCATTTTCAAAAACTAGTTTCACCCTGTTTTCAAAAGTTTGCGTTTTCAGGCCCCCAAAATAGTGACGTTTTTTGAATGTGAGGTACAGTACAAGTGCACATTTAAGCACATTTCTTTTTCACAAGGGCTAGAGCGCATTCCTGGCTAGTTTGACAGATCTCAGCACTGTGTCCTAGTCGAACAATGCGTCCTCTGTTGAGCTGCATACGCGACTGCGCCAGCTGACCTGCATACGTCAGTTACACTGAGACAAGAAATCCTTGTTTTTGGACGGCAGGTCAGGCTTACAATCAGCGAACTTTCAGACTATAATGCAGTAAAGAGTTATGCAATCCATCATGCGACATGCAGATTATATGCTTGGATGTGTGGGCTGGAAATCTGATGTTTATGTAAATATTATGTAAATGTCAATGTGACATGATTTGTTGCAAAGTGCCAATTGCCATGGGTAAAAGGCATGTACTGTACAGTAAATATTTCTGACTGTGTAAAATTCCAGGTTATGCTAGATATATTTTACAAGAAAATGCTTGATTGTCCAAATCTTGCTGCCACAATAGGTGGTTTGTAGGGTTTTCTGTGTAATACTAAGTGGCTCATCCCATAAAGCCACATTTAAAGGGTAGTTATAGAACTCAGGTATATGAAACTATAGCCACCAGGACAGTTCTCTGGGAACTACATTTTCCCTTAAGGTCATTTTCCTGGTTGCATTCGCACTGTGAGTATAGGAACCGTCATTTAAAGGGGTGGTTCAGGATTTTGGACATCGGGCCTCATTTCCAAGTTAGCCTGGGTGTTATTTATCAGTGGAGACAGTTTTAAAAAAAAATTCATCCAGTCGTTCCAGTTGCATAATTCGCCGGTGCTAGGCTAGCGCGAGTCAACGGTAACTGCTAGCCTGCCATTAGAAACAGTTTTACCCACTCCACAGAACACCAAACGCAAATAAATTACAACACCAGACTATCGATGTAAATGTCTGTTGAGAGAATAATGTTAGAAATCAAACTACTCTTGCATCTCAATGATCGCAATACATTTACAGGAACTAGTTTCTCAGCAGCGGCGGGATTTTACTTTGCTTCGGTTAGTAGTCCTGCGCCGAAACACAGAACAGAAGCGCACTACAGTCGGGACTACCTCTCTCTCTCTCTCTCTCTCTCTACCTCTCTCTCTCTCTCTCTCTCTCTCTCTCTACCTCTCTCTCTCGGTTGCCTAGGTAACTACATATCACTCCGCCGCTGCTGTAGACTGTGCTAATAAATACAGGGAACAAAGTATAATTATTGCAATGCAATGAAAGAGTAGTTTGATTTCTAACATTATTCTCTCAACAGACATTTACATCGATAGTCTGGCGTTATAATGTATTTGCTTTTGGTGAACTGTGGAGTGGGTAAAACTGTTTTTAATGGCAGGCTAGCAGTTACCGTTGACTCGCGCTAGCCTAGCACAGGCGAACTATGCAACTGGAACGACTGGATGAAATGTTTTGAAAACTGTCTCCACTGTTGTGTCGCGGGATTTGTGATAACGGAGATGCAATGTAGCAGTTATTCGTTTGAAGAAGCAAAAAGAAAAGCCAAGAGACAAAATCTCCTACGACATCTTGCAGTGCTACATTACACTTAGGCTGAGTAAAGGACACAACGCAAGGAAAGTTACTTTTAAACTTAGCCATTACAATAGAGTATTACGTTACTCCCTAAAAAGTAACTATTTGCGTTACTTAGTTACTTTTTCTCATCTGGCTTGTTGTTTTTTGAATACCAAAAAAAGTAATTACATTTTTGGTAAATGTACACGTCAAACCGACATTTATTCAGACACCATCAACATTTCTCACATTATCACAGTTTATCCGCTATAGTTTAGAAAATGGTAAGAACAAGAACTTGACAAGAACTCAGAGTTAAACTGTGTCAGAACAAACTCATC